TTTAAATGAATTGATTTATACAATGGTTTGATTTGCTACAGTGTGTATGTTCAGTCTGTGTCTCACCTGTCGTCCTCGTCCCCTGAACACGGTTTTCAGTCCCGTGTGCGCGGGGACGTGTTTGAGCGTGTGTGGTTGTTTCAGTTCATTTAGTAACTCTGGGCTGCTCAAACCCACTGCAGGACAAAAACAGACAGAACGATTCTCACAATGCAACCAGAAACACACAAACCCCTGCATCAACAAACAGCAGCGGCCAGCTAACAGGAACATTCTCGGAACGCTCTGGGAAAGTTCTGAACAAACGTTCTTCCTGTAACGTTAATGGAACGCTCATTCAAAGCTATCTGGTCTTTAATAATGTTAGCACAGAAATATTATTTCTACATTGTTTATGGAACAATGAAACAATTTAGTAAAGAGAACATTCAAAACCAAACATGTTTGCATAGAAATAAAATGGAAAGTTCCCCTTAATGTTTACATTAATGCTCACACAACCAAAAAAAACACATTTTAAACTTAAAAAAAAAAAAAATTGGCGTTTTTAACATTTAGAAATAACGTTTTGACTCACTCGGCCGTTCAGTGGACACTGGCGGAGAGGGCGTGGCTTTGTTTGGAGTTGTGGGCGGAGTTACATGACCAGTCTGTCACAGAGAGAAACCAGTTGAAATCATTGTTTATTTCATGTTTTTTTTTTTAATTAAGAGAGTTTATCTTACCTTACTTTCTTCCATCACTAGCCAACCATGTGCTGTTCTGATGGATTCAAGTTATAAATGAAGCATCGGACAGATGACGCGTTTACTTTCCCTCACTTTCCCGCTTCAGCATCAACTACTAAAACACTCAACTTAAGGGTGCTAAATAGTTATTAGTTACTGTATTTTTATATCTAGGCCTATATTAGATTCGGTCGCTGTGAGAAACTTGCTGCTTCGCCGTTCACCAACCTTTAAGTCGCATTTCTGCAGCATAATTAATCATTCACTTGCTTTATAGCTCTAAAGTCCACCGAAAACACCCTGAAAAAACACTGTATCACACAGTTTGGAGAAATACTGCAACTTCTTTCACCCCAGTCTTTTAAAAACACTAATAAATAGGTCAGGGAAAGATCTGTGAAACGCAGAAACACTGATAGCACACGTAGAAGATCGCTTTATCCGCTGTGTACAAACA